CATGAAGATTAATATCATAAGTGAATTATTTGGTGATATTATCCGTTAGCTTGACCATCTCCTCAAGTATTTAAATGGTTAAAAATGACTAATAATTTCATTTTTTCATTAAAAACATCCAAGTGATGTAATTGGATGTGATGATGAAGGTCCAACTTTTGGTAATTATTTCTATTCTAATAATGGTAACAAATGAATTTATGATAATAAGGATAAATATTATGATAAACAACTTAGAGACACAGAAATTTGTGGAACTGATTTCTTAGTTGACGAAATTGAAGTACCGTAAATGGCCAGCTACAAGGTCCTTAGAAAGACCTACTATGTACTGTATCTGGGTGCAAATCACAGGATCTTTAATTAAATGTGATCATTATTGTTAAAAAATATAGATTGTATATACATTTCAAATTTTTACACTATATGATATAAACTCTACTATACCCAGATCTACAGTATTAAAGGGTTTTAAATTAGTGAAATGTAACAGACCCTGCCAGGTCTTGTATCCGGCTATTTACGGTATTTCAAGTTCTTAAAAATTAAATGAAATTTTAAACTGTAATTATAAATTGATTTATTTTGTGATTTTTTTTTTTTTAGAAGCTTTTTCTTTTTAGCAAAAAGTGATTCATAGGAAAATTATGAGATATGATCTTTTCAAAAGAAAAAAATAAATAAAAAGAATAAAACATCGCTATCTTTTCCATTACGTTATGACTACCTAGGTCTTTTTATGTTAAACTCTTATAATGATTTATTAACCCTGTGTAAATAGTCGAAAAACTTAGGATTAATAACTTTTATTAATATAATGTGCATATAGTTATGAGGCAGTAACTAACAAATGTATGCTTTCTCAAAATATTAGTTGCCGGTGGTTGATGTTTTCCGATTAGTTAAAGTAATCCTTATAACAATTTTGTCACTAATTTATTGTACAAAATATGGATTTAACTTTCAGTCAATCATATTTATGAATAAAAAACGGCCGCCGTACTGTAGGTATTTTAATAGATTATCATATTAATCATAGATAAAGGTGTTTGTGAACAACCTAAATTTAAAACGTCTTGTACCATGCCATCTAATGGTTAAAATATTATATTTCGCATAAAATTTAGGAATTCTTATATACTGTATATAATTTCGATTTTGAATTTGTCGACATTTAATATTATGCTAACAAAATTTGACCATTACATAAATATAAAGCTTCGCAATATTTTATAGATATATTTAATATTAAATATATAGCAGACTTGCACATCCTTACGAGCATGTAGTAGTTTAGAAAATCAATTAATAGAAAAATACTTATTTCATCCTAATAAATAACTCTTTGTACTTACAACCTGATTTAACTCGTATAAGAAAAACTTCGATGAGACTTGTTAGTTAAATTAATGTGAATAAGTAGTTGAATACGTTATAGTTATTATAACTGTATTACTAAGGGTGATTCAAAGTAAGTTTATTTCGAAAATAAGTAGTGGTTCAAAAAGCCTATTTTTTTTATTTTGAAATTTCGAAATCAAACGTGTACACGTCACGTCACCCACATGTAGATTTTTTGCAACTTCGAACAAAGATATCTCGACAACTGCCAAACAAAATTTGATGTAATTTTTTTTTATTTTGATTCAACAAGTATGTGAAATTAAAAATAAAAAAGTTTAATCAAATTTGGATTGGTGGTAGTCGAGATATCTTCATTTAAAGTTTAGAAAAATTCTATTACGACTTGAATTTTAATGGTAGATTTGTTGATAAACTTTAAACAAAGATATCTCGCCAACCACCAAACCGAATTCGATGAGCATTTTTTTATTTTGATTATATATACTTATAGAATTTATTTTGGTGGTTGTTGAGATATCTTCGTTTAAAATTTAAAAAAATTCCATTATCATTAATAGACGGTTTAATATGTTGATGAACAATATCTCAATAACTACCAAACCGAATTCGATGAATATTTTTTTATTTTATTCTATACACTGGTAGAATAAAAAAAGAAAGAACATTCGTCGAATTTGGTTTGGTAGTTGTCGAGATACCTTCATTAAATTTTAAAAGGATTCTACTACGGCTTGAATTTAATAGACAGTTTAATTTATTGATAAACTTTAAACAAATATATCTCAACCACCAAACTAAATTCGATGAATTATTTTTATTTTGATTCGGTATACTTGTAGAATCAAAATAAAAAAATTTTATTGAATTTAGTTTGGTGGTTTTCGAGATATCTTCGTTTAAAGTTTGGCAATAAATTAACAAACGACGACTACCAAACCGAATTCGATGAAATTTTTGTACTTTATTCTATATACTTGTAGTTATTATTATTTTTTTTTTAGATACAGTTAATCTTATGAAAAGTGCACGTACTTATATAATGTACACTTATTGAGAGTTATTTAATAAGTAAGCTTATGAATTACAGTAGACCGATCAAAATATAATGAAAATATATGTACATTTACAGAGTACACCTAAGGCACATTTTTTTCACCTTTATCGTAATTTTCTTTACTTATCAATAGAATATATGTAATATGTAATTTGTTAGTACTTAATAATACTATGCTTTATACCCTTGTTACTATACGTACCAAGATCGTAGGATATAAATCTGTTATATACTGGATTCCATGTGTATAGCTATTACATAACTTACGTTCAATTTTATAATCAACAATTTTAAAAATGTTATGCAGAAATAATATTTTGATAAATATTAAAACTAAGTTTTTTTTGCAAAAGCGAAAATTTTATTTACTGCATATTTATCATTTGTAAAATCAGTAAGCATTAAACAAACTAATACGGAATATATTAGAAAAAAATTTATTTTTTTCTATTTATTTAAAAGCTCATATTATTACAAATTATTATAAAATTAATGATTATACTGTTACAAATTATTTTAACGAACTTCAATAAAATTAATTAAATCAGTACTCTCCTATCTTTATTAAGTACTGAATTTGTTATTATTACACTGATTATACACTAATAAATAATAACATGTAGCTCTAACTTTAAAAATATTTAAAATAAAAAAAAAGTAATTAGATAAACGTTACTAGATACATATTGAGTGACATTTTTATCTAAATTTACATGGCCATTTCAAATATTAAATACCATGTTCTAATCTTTCAAGAACTTAAAAGAAATTAATTTTAAATGTTTATAAATCCTTTGTACGTAGTAAGTTTACATGGGGATTTCCTTCGTACAGGTGGGTTTTGGTGGTGGTGGCGGGGGAGAATTCTTAGTACAGGTGGGTTTTGGTGGTGGTGGGGTGGTAGTGCACACAGATTTAGTAGTTGTGGTGGTGGTGGTGCAAGGCCTATGAGGTTCTGGGTAATGAGGTTCTGGGTGATGAGGTTCTGGGTGATGATGTTCTGGGTGATGAGGTTCTAGGTGATGAGGTTCTGGGTGAGGTCTTGGGTAATGCTTTGGGTGATGCTTTGGGTAATACGGCACACCATGTTTCTTTGATATGGTGTAGTAATTTTTATGGTGATGTTTATGGTGGTAATGTTTCTCATATCCGCCTTCTACTTCATATTCAACTTTCTTATATTTCTTGGATCCAGATGATTTTTCAGTTGTTTCTTCAGTATCTTCTACTTTCTCATCTTCCTCATCTTCCTCATACTTTTTCTTGTGTTTCTCATCTTCCTCATATTCCTCATACTTTTTCTTGTGTTTCTCATCTTCCTCATCTTCCTCATACTTTTTCTTGTGTTTCTCATCTTCCTCATCTTCCTCATACTTTTTCTTGTGTTTCTCATCTTCCTCATCTTCCTCATACTTTTTCTTGTGTTTCTTTGATGATCCTTTTGTTTCAACATCGCTTTCTACCTCAGGAGATCCTTTTGTTTCAACATCACTTTCTACCTCAGGAGATTCTTTTTTTTCAACATCGCTTTCTACCTCAGGAGATTCTTCATATTTTTCTTTCTTTTTATAAGATTCTTTTACGTAATACTTCTTAACCTTATAAGTAGGAACAGTAGTTGCTACAACCTTTGGAACACATTTAGTATATTTCTCTACTTCATATGACTCTACAGTCGTGTAGTGTGGAACTTTCTTATATTTCTTTACATATTTTGTTCCCTCTTTTTCTGCTTCTACTTCGCCGGGCTTTTTATAGTGATGCTTCTTCTTTGATTTGCAAGTAGTTGTTGTTGCGGTCGTTGCGGTCGTTGTAGTGGTGCAAGTAGTTGCTTCTACTTCGGGCGTTGTAGTGCAGGTAGTTACTTCTACTTTGGGCGTTGTAGTGCAAGTTGATTTCTTGTGTTTCTTGTAATAATGCTTCTTATGTACCACTTTTTCAGAGGGCGTAGTTTCAGTATCTTCTACAACGGGGTACTTGTGATGATGATACTTCTTTTTCTTATGTACCACTTTTTCAGAGGGTGTAGTAGTAGTAGTTTCAGTATCTTCTACAACGGGGTACTTGT